TATATATATATGAAACGTTATACTATAATATTATGAACACATTTCGCCACGTCATTAGTTTAGCTTAGCCAATGAGGTTGCATTACTGGTCTCGGTAGGCCGAGAAACCACATTAACCTTTAGCTCCAGTCTCCAGAAACTTTTCTTCGGTCTCCTCAAACAGGTGTCATAACATTAGAGCAGATGCACTTGGAGATATATGCCATATATAAGAAGGAATTATTCTGTGTGTTCATTAGTTACTAGTTACTTAGATTGGTGAGTTTGTCACGTCGAAGTTCAAGAAACAGGAGACAGAGAGAGACAGAGGGAGAGACTGTGAGACTTAAGAGGGGCTTTTCTTTCGTGGATGATTGTGGACTTTGGCAAGGAGAATGGTAGGGTGTACTTTTTGTTGCTGCTGTTGTTATTTCTGTTGTTGCTTTCAGTAATGATAACAGTAATGATAATGATAATGATAATGATAATGTTGATGATAATGACAGTGATGGGGGTGATGATGATGAAATGATAATGAAATGATAATGAAATGGTAATGACAATGATATTAAAAAAGGGAAATGATGACGACAATAAAAATGATAATAGTAATACGACTAAGTAGCTTCTATTTCTCTCAATTTTTGTGGGAGGGTGTTTCGGTTTATGGACCAGCAATGCCAAAAGATCTTTATCGTAACTTGGATATCATTAGTAATAGTATTGTTGCTGTTGCTGTTGTTGTTGTTGTTGTTGTTGTTGTTGTTGTAGTTGACATTGTTGTTGTCCTCATTTTTGCTTATAGGTGAGTTGTTGGAGGGCGACACTAATAGGTCCTACTTCTTTTCTTTTCTCTTTTTTCTGTTTGTCTTTCTTGCTGTCCCCAGCGCAAAATGGTCGTTATTGTACAGATGTGCGTCAATCCATTCAACAGATGGTTATTATTGTTTTTGTTACTGTTTTGTTACTATAACCCATCTCGTTACTGCTATTATTAGTACTGTTTTTGTCTTGCTATTGGTGATATCCTCATTATTGGGTTTGTTATGGCGGCTGTTATTTTGTTATAGTTGAAGTTCTTGTTCTTGTTCTTGCTGTCATTGATGGTGTCATTATTCCCGTCCTTGTTATGGTTGCGCATTTTGTTGATTGTTTTCTTTCCTACCACTGTTGTTGTTAATTAAGTCTTTTAACAATTTTGCTGTCTTTGCTGCAATGTCATCTTTGACGTTATTGCTATATTATCTGCGAATATTTTTGTGATCACTTCTACTTTGCGAAGGTGGACGTTTGGATGATACTTTTAAATCAGTTTCTATATCTTTGCTATACTAATAGATATATGAGACTGTTGCTTCTGTATAGAATTATCTTTCTTACTTTCTCCTTGACCTTTTCAAGCCAACTTTATTCCCGTATTTTGCTTTTTTAAGAAAACATGTACCGTAACCTGGGGCTACTTAGGCCACTTGTTTTGAAACCTTCATAACTATTTCAAAAATTATCAAATGCAGTCCTCTCAAGTTTATATAAAAAAGAGTGAAGTAATGAGAAACTTAATTAGTGATTTTTTCAAAAACTTGAAGTCAAATTTGTTTCAAAATGGGGCTTTAAAGACATCTTGCGGGCTTTCGTGGTCGAAAGGTTACGGTTTTCGCCTCTCATTCGATAGAAGGTCCAGGATTGGCTCTAAAATTGTCTCCTTTCACCTCCTTTCCTGCTCTCAGACCATGTTCTGTTGGCACTTACATGACCAAAATTGAGTCGATAGTGCCGTAAAACACCTACTCAATAAAAAAAAAAATATAAAAAATCAATCAAAACCACGTTCTGTCGTCTACTTCAGTCTCCACTTTCTGCCCTAACCCCCCACCCCCCTTTGCCCCTCCGCTGGGCTCCTGACTCTTTCTGCAGTCTTTCTACAGCAACTCCTTGGCTCCTTCTTACTGTTGTCTTTCGGCCACATCCCTGATCTTAGGGAAGGTAAGATCTAACACATAGCCTTCTCGGATAAGGGCAAAATTTCGGAGGTCCTGTGTGCAAACTGCACCCGTCAAAGATCCCTTAGTGGTTCAAAATCGATAAGAGTAGGCGTCGGCCGCCATCCGAGCAAAGTTCAAAACTAATTCCTACAAAACTAAAAATGTTTAATGTGTCCCGCGTGCTCATACGACCTTATGCAGTTGCGAACGCCGTAAAACACCCACTAAAACAAAAGAGTACAAATGAGGGGGGGGGAGGGGTCCAAGCTAGCCCCTAATGGGATTACTTCAGTCAGCATATTAAAGTCTGTGTAAAGAATTATAAAAAAAGAAAACCCCTCTCTGTGGCTTCTCAGTTTGCCTCAAATCTACCTAACTGTCCCAGACTCGATGACAGCGAGAAAACAAATAATATTAATTTCATAATTTCTCTAAGTTTGCGCGGATCTGCACCAAATTTGAAAGAAATTTTGTTTGTTTATCCGGATGCCATAAGCTATAAACAACTTTGAACTGGTCAGACGAGCATCGCTGCATCAGCCATATATTGGAGCAGCCCAGAAAAAGCCTTATGCGTTCAGAAATAGAAAATACGGTGAATTCAAGTCCGCAGGAAAACATTTTAGAGTGTTATTGCGGGGAGTAAGAATTGATCCCAGATCTCAATCTTGTGCACCTTCTGAAAGAGCAATTTGGGGGTGATATGAACATTTTAAGTTGGGTTGGGAGAACGTCTGTCAGTAAGCCATTCAGAAATAGTGCAAGCATTAACAAAACTGTGTGAAATGAAGAAAATACAAAAGCTGTCTGTTCGGGGATGTTGAGTTATACTAGGTTTATCAAAGTCACCGACAAACGGAATCTAAAGCAAGATTTGAAAATGAAGCCATACCACATTTCAGTTTACCAAGGAGTAACCTCAGACAATGCTTCGGAGAAAAATCAACCAAACAATACAATACACC